AGAGATCCCAAAATTATGTCATATGTACCCATACATAGAAAATGGCTATCATCATCATTAACTGAAGATAATATAGATTCTTTATAACATTAAGATCATTTAGTTATTTAGTTATTTAATTATTTAGACACAGGGTTATTCTGTGTAGCCCTGGCTGACCTAGAACTCCCCGTGTAGACCAGGCTGGCCTAGAACTCACAGATGTCTGCCTGCCTCTCCCTCTCAGTTAAAGGCATGGCATGCCTTTAATTTAAATATACAGCCACACTTTCTTTGCTTGGCATTTAGCTGGCTTAAATCATATTACATGAGACGAAGGAGGAAAATGAAGACTCACTAATTTAAATCTTTCATACTTTAGAAAAATGATATGAGCATGATTACCCCCAAGGACATTAAAATAGGAATTCTACTGTATAATATCTTAGAGGGACAAGCTACTGTAGTTTGCTTTCTTCCTTCAGCCTTGAAGATTTTTAAAATTGAGTGCTTAAGCTTTCAAGGTGTTCTCATGTCAACTGCATACAAATAGGCAAGGCCCTAAATTGTTATAATATACTGCTATACATTAAATCATTTAATTAGAATACCTAATAATGGCGTTATCTCCCTGTATTTACAGAACAACATTAATGTATGCAGTGAAATTTGACTCAAAATACATTGTTGATTAAGCTTCACATCAATGTAGTTTTAAAAGATTCATAGAGAAGACAAATAAAATGATGGACTATAAATAAGCCATGGGATAATGAATGAAGAAGTTTTCCAGAGTTGTAAGATGTGGGTTTCTCATGAAGGTCCCCTTCATGCTCAGCACATGAAAGTGGTGGCATCTCTGCAATATCCTTGAGCACTAAGCATTAACAAAACAACCTTGTCATAGCAACTGTTCTGTTGCTGTGAAGAGATGCCATGACCAAGGCAATTCTTCTAAAAGAGGGCTTGCTGTGGGGACACCAGACCTTGAGCAGAGACCCACTTCCCCTTCAGCCTGGGAGTAGGCAGCTGTAAGACAATGTTTACTACTAAAAACAATGCAATGCCTGGGGCAATAAGGTCCTGGAAAAGGCCTGCCCACAGAAACCGCCCTGACCTCGACCTTGTCCAAAGACTAACCGCCTCTTCTGACCAGATCAGTTTTTGGTATCAGACCAGAACCAGCCAGTGTAGAGGAGAGAGCAGAAGCTTTTCTGGAGGGAGCCTTTCTTAGGAAGTTTTCTTGAACCTTTTTGGGGCCTGCTTAAAATTTTCTTTACATCGTTGAACGAGTCTCTGTGTTGTCAATCCCCAACAACCTCCGCACACTCTCGGACACAGGCCTCGAAGCAGACGTGACAGCTTGCTTACAGTTTTAGATCCTCATGGCAGGAAGCAGATTGGCATGGTGCTGCAGAAGTGGTCAAGAGCTTTGTGTCCTGATCGACTGGTAGCAGGGAGAGAGAGAGAGAGAGAGAGAGAGAGAGAGAGAGAGAGAGAGAGAGAGGGAGAGGGAGGGAGAGAGAGATAGAGCCCTGGGGGGCCCTGAGTAGGGGTCTTTCATTAGGAAAGCAGCAAGTTAAGATGTGTTCATAAGGAGGAATCTGATCCCTTACTCTATGAATTGACAGAGTTGAGCAGCCCAAAGTTGATTAGCTGAGCTCAGGGGACACAAAAATGAAAGGTTTCTTTTGTATGTTTGTTTGCTTTGTTCTTAGTCCAGAGTGTGAAAGGAAAGGGTCAAATACTGTGTGAGGATATTAAAGGAGTTAGACTGAGTGGATTAGAGGAACTGAACATTCTGGGCATAGGCTTAGAGAACAGATCACTTCCTGTGAAGAGAAATGAAAGTGACCAGAATTCCTCCCTAAAATATAAGGACTTAGCATTTCCCAACCCAAGCCAGTCAGACAGGTGCAAGAAAATCTGCTGAGCCATGAAAGGGGGATTTGTACTTCATGGGATTTCATGATTCACTCATCAGGGTAATCACTGTCTATGTGGCACTGTTATTGCCTCTGAGAACTAAAGTTAGTCTAACCAGAAATTAATCAGTTCTCTTCACTTTCTTCTCCCAGATATCACTCAAGGGAAAAGCAATCCAGTTTATTGTGCATGCTCTTCCAGCTTCAGGCTGAAGCCAAACAGTTCTGGATAAGGACAAGATATGAGGATTATGGGTTCAAAACCACCCTAGGCTACATAAAATGTTCCAGGATACTCTGAAAACTGTTCCAAAAAGAAAGGGGTGTGTGGAGGTGGGGTGGATGGAGAGACAGGCAACCGATAAAAACTACTTTCAGCTTTCGTAGAGGGCCCAGGTTAGGTTCCCAGCATCCACATAGTGGCTTCCAACTGTCCAGTAATGCCAGCTCCAGGAGGTCTGAGGCCCTCTTATGGCCACTGTGGGCAGTAGGAAACCAGATACACATGTGGTGCACCAACATGCATGCAGGCAAAATGCTTCCTCATAAAGTAAAAAGAAAAAGGCTTTTTAAGTGGGGCGAAGGGAGCAAGACAAGAGAGAGAGAGAGAGAGAGAGAGAGAGAGAGAGAGAGAGAGAGAGAGAAAGGAGGGGCATGGGGATGGTTTTTTCTTTGTCTATTCTTCTGAAGACAGTGTATTTTATCATGACATTCCTTCCCACCCTCCTGTGAATTGATTTCGGATTGGCCCTTTGTTGACAACTGTTCTAGACCTAGACTCATGTCCTTTGCCTCCAATACAGATCTCCAAAACTTCAGACAAATCACGTACATGTGCATAACTAGCTTTTCCATTTCCTTAAGGCCATATTTCCATGGTTCACAGACTTTTACATTGCTGAAATCTGATTTGCCATTCCCCCTATCTGTGTGTGTTTGTCCTGAACAAGATCAGCTGTGCTTCCTTCAATGGAAAGAGTTTCTGTTGCTCTTTCTTTCAGAAACCACATTCTTTTCTTTTTATACTGATGTCTATGAAATATTTCAAATAAATATCCATGTGTTGTATCAGGTAAAGCCCAATGTTCATTTTTTCCACAAACACAGCCAGCTTTCCTACAGTGTTGTTGAAAGAACAAGTAGCCTGTTTCCCTTGAATCCTCTTAGTGTATGGTCAAAATGTGTGTAAGAACGACTACAGAACTAAATAGAGAATTCTCAACAGAGGAGTCTAAAATGACTTAGAGACACTTAAGAAAGTGCTCAATATCCCTAGCCATCAGGGAAATGCAAATCAAAACAACTCTGAGATACCATCTTACTCCTGTCAGAATGGCTAAAATAAAAAACACCAATGACAGTTTATGCTGGAGAGGATGTGGAGAAAGGGGAACACTCCTCCACTCCTGGTGGGAGTTCCAACTCGTACAGCCTCTTTGGAAATCAGTATGGAGATTCCTCAGGAAAATGGGAATCAGCCTACCAGAAGATCGAGGTATATACCCAAGTACATCTGTTCCACCATGTTCATAGCAGGATTATTTGTAATAACCATAACCTGGAAGAAACCTATATGCCCCTCAACTGAAGAGTAGATACAGAAAATGTGGTACATTTATACAATGGAGTACTATGTAGCAGAAAAAACAAGGGAATCTTGAAATTTGCAGGCAAATGGATGGCACTAGAAGAAACCAACCTGAGCAAGGTAACCCAGTTACAAAAAGACAAACATGGTATGTACTCTCTCATATATGAATTTTAGATAGGGATTAGGGGACACTCCCACTGCCAGAGAGTCTGGGAAACAGAACCTTCAACCAATGACTGATGGAACCAGAGGCAGACAGCCACAGCTAAACCCTGAACTGAATTCAAGGAACCCAGTGACAGAGAGGGAGGATTAATCAGAATAGGAGTCAAGATTGGGCTTGTTTAACCCACAGAAACAGCTGACCTGAACAAGGGAGAGCTCTGGAACCCCAGGCTGATGCCTGGGAATCCAGCTTAGGACTGATCAAGACCCCCATGAATGTGGGTATCAGTGAGGAGGCCTAGGTACTCTATGGGGTCTTGGGTAGTAGATCAGTATTTATCCCTGGCATACAAATGGACTTTGGGTGCCCATACCAAAATGAGAGATTCTGTCTCAACCTGATTCTTGGGGGAGGGCCTAGGCCCTGCCCTGAACAAAATGACAGACTATGAATATCCCCCATGGTGGGCCTCAACCTCCCTGGGGAATCGAATGAGGACTGGGGAAGTGGGGCTGTGAGGGTTGGTGGGAAAGCTTGGGAGGAGAGGAAGGAGAGGGAAAGGGAGCTGGGATTGACATGTGAAGCAACCTTTTCTGTAATTTAAATTTAAAAATAAAATAAACAAATAAATAAAAGAATGCATTCCTGGCCCTTCTTTTCTCATCTGTTCATCCGAGTGCCTATTGTGTAACCTTATTAATTCTCCCAGTTGTTCTTATGACTAGTCACGTTACTTGGACACCAAGAATCTCTTGGCAGTGCAGCCATGTGGAACCTGTCCAGCCTGATCAAACTAAGGGAGTCCTATTGTATCCTGATGCTCTCTCTTCCCTTTGTCCTATGCAGTGACCATCTGGGCCCACATGACATCTTCCTTCCAACAACATAGTTTCATGGACATCATCTCCTCTGATTCACTTTCCAAATATTGCCAGATCTTCAATTTCATCTTACTGTTACAATGTACAGAATGAACATTTCAGCTTTTTAATCTGGAGAGATGTGTGGTGTGTGTGTGTGTTGGAGGGATACCTCACATCTATTGCTAGTGGACAGTGGAAATAATTTTTTGTTCTTTAACTATTGTTTATTATTAATTTAGGATTAAATATTTCTTCCTTTCATTGGATAAGCTAAGGTATAGGCTAAATAACAAATGCGTGGGATATACCAGAACACTTTTCCTGGTCCAGCTACTTATACACAGTGGGTGCAGAGCTGCTATCCCAATTCACCAGTTTTCCCAGCACTGAATATCAAACTCAGTTCTCTGCATTGTAGACAGACATTCTACAGACAACAGTATGCATGTGCTAGTGGTGTGGATATGTGTGTGTTTTAAAGCTATTTTTGGAGGTGCCTTTCTCTTTTTGAAGAACAAATATGCATTCTGCTTCTCTTTTGTTAGGCAATTGTGACATCTGCTCTCAGAAGTAAAGAACTTAACTCCAGTCAAAAGGCAAATGTGTTCTCAAACTGTGAACCTCTAGGAAAGGTGAGCAGAGAAGAGTCACTTTTTCCTCTTGTGGAAAGTCCAGTTTACATCAGGTTGCGTTTTGTGTTGAAATATTGTGTACAGATAGATAGAAAGATAAATGGATAGATGATATATTGATAGATAGATAGATGATATGCATAGATTGATGATAGATATAGATGATCCACAGATTAATAAATGAAAGATATCAAAATAGGTGATAGATAGTAGATAAAAAACATAGATGATAGACAAGACAGATAAAATAGACAGTTGACAGAAATGCTTGATTGTTAGATATCTATATGATAGAGATGTATGATGGAAGATAGATAGATAGATAGCAGACAGATAGGTAATAGAGAGATACACAAATAAATAAACAGGTGATTAGATCTTTCATTTGTGATAATCTACAGAACTTTTCCTACTCTCCTAATCAGCACACAGAACATTCCAATGATCTGTTCCCTTGAATCTTTTCACAGTCCTCAGTTTCATCCAGGTCTAATAAAGTCACTGACCTTATTTCTATCACTGTAAATTAAACTTTATTCCAGTTTCAAGCAAAAGAAATAATACAGAATATGTACCCTGTGCCAATCACCTGTTTCGCAGTATAATGTTGGGGTACTATATATATTAATTGCTGCATAACTCATCACTACAAACTTCTGTAGCAGTGTATTGGTCAGCTTTTTGTTACAGTAACAAATAACTGAGATAATCACGCTGTTTTAGGGAGAGGAGTGACTAACTTTGAATCTGTTTTGGAGATTTCAGTCCCTGAGTGGCTGGCCTTATTGATATTAGATCTGAGGCACTACATCATAATGAAAGTGTGTGGTGTATGTGGGAAAACCAGTAACTTCCTGTGGAAAAGAAAGAGTGCAGAGTGCCACAGACCTGCCTTCTTGCAACTTAAGGTATTTTCTTTATCTAGTTATGTGGGTAGATATTTGTTTTGCTGATTTTTGGATCTTCTTTGCAGCTCTCTGTCACTCTCCATGTTATAATTGCTCTAATTGTGTCTCTTAGGTTTTGAAGTTTTACATTTCTTGTCATTCCTCTCAGCTAAGTCTGATTTCCTGCTCAACCATTGGTTCAGAATACACTGTTTACTTTCCACATGAATGCAGATTTTCATAACATGATGAGAAAAGATATTTGTTATAATTTCAGTGTTTTCAAAGTTTTTGGAATTTGTCTTGGGGATGGGCATGTGCATCCAGGGAATGAATATTCTATTGCAATTGGATTGATTTTCTGATAGAGCTCCAGTATACAGTCTCTCATCATCATCATCATCATCATCATCATCATCATCAAACATCTCTTCCACTAAGAATTCACAGAGATAGTGGATTTGTGCATTAAGTACATATAGTTGGATCTTGCTTTTGTTTTATTTGTTCTCTCAAACATCATTTTCTTCTGATTAGGAATATTTGTACTCACAAGTAATTACTAATAGAAATGGACTTATGGCCATGTTTTGCTAGACTTTATTCTGATTTTTGCTTTATGCTGACTTTTGTAGAAAATTATTTGAGTTATTTTTAGTTTACATGGATGTATGTGTATGCATGTGCCTGCTTGCCTATATGTGACCTGGGTGCATGTAGTAGGCACACACACTAAAGGAGGGTGTCGGAAACCCTGGAACTGGAGTTACAGATGGTTGTGAACTACCATGTAGGCACTGGGAACTAAACCTCGGTCCTCTACAAGAGAAATAAGTGCTTTTAACCAATGAGATATCTCTTGAGTCCTGTGGTAAAATATTGTTATTTCCTTATTTTCTTTGTGATTTGCATGTACAATATATTATTCTAATTTAAGCTGAAGTGAACTTCAAATTTCTATCTTCTACTCACTGTATGTAACCAGAGTCACATGCCATATCTTCATTCATTGAACACTCATTACTAGAGATTAATAATAATTTTATACATTTATTTTAAAAACTATAAACAAAACAAATGGGTTAGAGTTTAGTAATATAATTATCTTTATATAGCTATCCATATATTCATCTTTGCTGAAGAATTTTGTGTTTGTATATGAGCAATTTCTGGTGTCTTTATATCACTTTATAATTGCTTATAAGGCAAGGAATAAATGTTATAAGCATTTGTTTATCCAGGAAATTCTCTCTCATTTTTGTAAGACAGTTTTTTCACCAATATAGAATTTTCAGTTGTCAATTTTATTATTTTAGCTCTTAAATACATTTCAATTCTTCTTTGGCCTATTAAGTTCTGCTACAGAAAATAGTTATCTCACTGAGAAGCCTGAGTGTACCATGAGTGAATTTTTTTCTTAAATTAGAAACAATCTTATTTTATTTATCAATTCCAGTATCCTTAGTGTGTGAGTGGCTTTTATCTTGATGATTTCAGCATTCTCTGCTTGTCTCTTGATGGTGTCATTCATTATATCATGTCTACACGTGGTTCTGTGTTTTTATGCTATTTTGACTATGTGAAGCTTTGCAACTGTTTAACCATGTCTTTTCTCAGATTTGAGGAGTTGCTGACTAGTGTTTCCACAAAGAAGTGCTCCAAGACTTCCCAGCTTTCTTCTGAAACACCCATCTCATGTAAGTTGGTATTTCCAATGCTGTCTCACCACTCTGTTTCAAGTCTCCCCTTTTATATTATTGGTTAGACTTCTAGAGTATGGACAAAGAGACACCTAAGTTTAACTTATGTCCTCTTGACACACATTGCTTCAAACCTAACAAACAGCTCAAGAGGCTGGGCCTAGAGTATCACAAGCTGTGGCTACATACTCACTACCGGTCAACCCAGGACTTCATAGCAAGACTCCATGACAAAAACACAATCAAAATAAACAGAAAAGGGAAAGACAAAACAAATTCATGAGCAATACAATTTCACCCATGAAATATATTATTTTTGTTATTATCCTAATAAACCTTTCTGTTCTTAGTTTTATTTACTTATTATTTGTGTGCATGCCTGTGTGTGTGTGTGTGTGTGTGTGTGTGTGTGTGTGTGTGTCTGTATATAGGTCTAAGAGTGGTCCAGGAGACCAGAAAAAGAGTTGTAGGAATCCCCAGAGCTGAAATTAGCTACAGATAGTTGTGAGTAATATGACATGTATGCTGTAAAATGAGCTTGAATCATTTTAAAGAGCAACATACTCTCTCTCTTACCTACTGAACCATCTCTCCAGTCCCACATTCTCATTTTTAAACACAAGGAAGCTTGTTAAGTCTGTCAAGATTTATAAACATGTAGTCTTGCTATGAAGTCCTGGGTTGAAACACCATGACTTTGATCCTCCCTAAGGCTAGATGCTTCTTCCTGCTCCCTGCAGTGTCTCCCCCAATTCTGGGGCTGGAGATTAAACCACCAGCCTGGAGGGTGGGAAGTCTGGAAAGAATTGTATGTAGATGGATGGCAGAAGTCCTTAAAAAGGGAAGTTTTTCTTGAGGGGCTCCTCCTAAGCTGACTTGGGAAGCATAAAGTTTTCTTAAAGCAACCAACTGGTTTCTGTGTCATCTATCCCGACCACCTCGCTACATTCTTGGATGCAGGCTGCACAGCAGGTGCGACAATTGGAGGATCCCACCGAGATTTTGAAAGCAAGGTAAGTGAGCAGGTTCATCTCTTTTTCTGGCCAGGGACAGATTGGGGAAAAAAGAAAAGAAACCATGGGGAAAAGTTCTGGGAAGCTTGAATTACAGTATCAAGTTAAAAAGTTATTTGAAGGACATGGGACTACAGTAAAGTCTAAAACCTTGGAAGGCTTTTTAAAATGGATTGAACATGCGAGTCCATGGTTCATTACTGGGGGAGGCTTAAATGTCCCAGACTGGAAGGATGTTCGCTATGATCTTTAGAGTCGGGTGTTGGTGGCATATACCTTTAATCCCAACACTTGAGAGACAGAGGTAGGTAGGATGGAGGCCATCCTTGTCTATAGAGCGAGTTCCAGGACAGCCTCCAAAAGGATAGAGAGAAACCCAGTCAAAAAAAAAAGAGGGTAAAATAAGAAATAAAATAAAAAATCTCCAGTCTTTCACCTGATCCACTGAGGTCAGGAAAGTAAAGAAAAACTCAGAGATCTAAAAGGATAGCCAACAAGTAAGGCTATAAGTATGTATTAAAAAGGGGGTACCAAGCTAGGGGTACCAGATTAAATGTCTAGGCCCTTGCCTGGCAAAGGTCAGGAAAGAAAGGGAACCTAAGATAAGAAGTTACCCTCAGTTGGAGGGTGGATTGGAGGATCATCCTCAATGGGAGGATAGATTAAAGATGGGTAAATTTAAAAAATTGGTAAAGTTAATAAATGAGGTATTAGTATTCAGTAAAAAAAAGACAAAGGTATATAAAATAAAAAATCTTTACATTTATATGGGGTAGGTTATTGATACAAGTTTAAGGTCAATTAAAAAATTGGTAACAGTTAATAAATGAGGTATTTGTATTCAATAAAGAAAAAGGCAAAGGTATATAAAATAAAAATGTTTGGTTACATTTGTATGGGGTAGGTTATTGATACAAATTTAAGGTCAATATTGTGAGTCATCTCTAAAAACTTTTGACAAAAGCCTGGCCTTTCCACTTTGCATCTACAGAATTACAAGGAGTGGGTATGGCTGTAGCCCCTAATTGTAGCTCAAAACTTCTCTAATGAAGAAATGATGAGGGACATACAGGACTTTTTCAACCTTTTGTTTTAATTCAAAGATTGACTGCAGTTGTTCTGTTAAAGAAGTTTCAGTTCAACAAACTAATCATAACCTAGGCAAAAGGAGAGATATGTATGCATGGTCTGTGTGTATGGACGTGGCCACATCAGTATGTATGAAGTGTGAAATGTAAATGCGTGAATGTTGACAAAAGCAACTGTTCTAATTGCCTTGGATATGATTAAAGGGATACTTAAATCCCTTCAAACAGTCAAAAACTACCTAAATTGATTTAGATATAGCCAAAAGAAACATCCAGTCAGTCGGTTAATATTTTAACAAAAAATTCAAGTTAAGCCCTCAGAGCCAGTCAAAACAAAAAAGAGAGAGAGAGAGAGAGAGAGAGAGAGAGAGAGAGAGAGAGGTTTTTTTTCAGGGAACTGCCCTGCTGCTTTGGCAGGCCCCACCCCCAAAGGTGTCTGTATAGATGCAAATTAGACCTGGTCAGCTCAGATGCAAAAGAGGCCTTATCAGCTAGTGAGAGCTACTGGTTAGAAAAAAAAGGGACTATTTGGGACATAGTATAGTTTACAATCCTTAAATGATTCTCAAAGGTACTTAATGGTTATGTCCTTTTAAAGGACATCTACTAATAATTTAAATAGTGATCCCAATTCACCTAGATAGTTGACTAAGGAGGGTAGACAAATCCTTCTACTGTTATGGTCCAATTTCAACAGTTCATACGAAATTTAAAAATAAAAAAAGGGGGGGTAATGTACCCAGTCCCTACATGATTCATTGAATAATCCACTCCTCATTTAAATTTTTTTAAATGTAAATGCCAGTGAGCAATCTGCTTCAGACAGATTCAGGCATAATGAAACTTGAACAACTAGTACTCAGGTCAAATGAAAACATCCATACACTAGACAGTGGAAAAGACCCTAATTTGGGGTCGAGGGCATGTTTGTGTTTTCTTACAGGAAAAGAATAAAGCTTCAGTAGCTGTCACAACATTTGGTGAGATGCATAGAGCAGAGAAAACTGGACCTGAGACCATGGGAGCCTGCCCAAGCCAGTTTGAGATCGCCTAAATCGGTGTTCCTGACCCTTGATGTCATCAAATCTACAGCCCAAGAAAGAAATAAAACAGTCAGTTCGAGATTTCCAGTTTCTCATCAGGCCTGCTACATCAACCTCCTGGACCCATGAGTTGTCATCCCAAAGTCAACAAAACTGGAAGATTAACAGTTTGCCTTTGACACACCTTAAAACAACAGAATTCATTTTGCCAGCTTTTCCCTTTGGGGGAAAAAAAGGACCCATTTAAAACATTTGGACATTGGTATGGACTGTGATGAGTGGCAAAAGCCTCTTTTCAGTATTTGAACAGGACATGGTCACTTGAAATATCAGACTTGGTAGTTCCTGTTTCTGGAATCGTGCCTAGGCCAGTGTATTTTTCTGGAGAAATGCAATTTGTCCTAATGCGACAAAAAGACTTTGACTCAAGTTACATATTCAGCTAATACTACTAACATTAAATCAACAAAGTACATCACCACAGAAACAAATTGGTACTCTGTAAATAGTGCAACAAGCCTCTTGTTCATATTTTTTATAATGCTACATGTGTAACATCAATGATTGTACCTAATGTATCTGTGCAAGTGCACTCTCTAATGCTTTCCTAAGTAGATCTTAAAATGATTGTAAACTTTATCACTGTTTTGATCTTCAAATTGTAACTATAAATCACCCTTGTAACAAAGAAAGGCTGGTGGTAAAATGCTACAGCCCAGATCGGGGGATGGGCAGATGACAGAGAGGTGCTATGTCAGTGGGGGTCCTAGGAATGGTAACAGTGGCAGTAGGCATTCTGGCTTCATGCTGAGTTCAAAGTGCCTTAGCCCATGGCAATCCGAATAGCCATAAAGCCTTATTACAGATGATTCTAAGGTTGGGTGGGGCCACTCTGTTGACGGACAACCTGTGGGGAAGACCCCTCCCACCTAAGACAGGGGTTCAAGGTCCTCCCTCCGAGGATGAGAAACGGAGGGTGACCCTACTTGAACTAAGCCAGGAGTGCCTCATTTAAAAATAAAAAGGGGTGAATTGTGGGGACAACTGACCTTGAGCAGAAACCCACTTCCCCTTCGGCCTGGGAGCAGGCAGCTGTGAGATAATGTTTACTGAAAACAATTCAGTGCTATAAAGCTCTTGATAGGGCTCAGATAAGGGCTTGCTCACTGAAACACCATGACTTTGATCCCCCCCCTAAGGCTAGATGCTTCTTCCTGCTCCCTGCAGTGTCTCCCCGATTCTGGGGCCAGAGATTAAACCACCAGCCAGGAGGGTGAGAAGCCTGGAAAGAATTGTATGTAGATGGATGGCAGAAGTCCTTAAAAAGGGAAGCGTTTTTTTTCTTAGGGGGCTCTTCCTAAGCTGACCTGGGAAGCATAAAGTTTTCTTAAAGCAACCGACCGGTCTCTGTGTCATCTATCCCGACCACCTCGCTACATTCTCAGATGCAGGCTGCACAGCAGGTGCTACACAAGAGCTCTCCCTTGTTCAGATCAGCTGTTTCTGTGGGTTAAACAAGCCCAGCCTTGACTCCTATGCTAATTAATCCACCCTCTCTGTCACTGGCTTCCTTGAATTTAGTTCAGGGTTTAGCTGTCTGCCTCTGCTTGCATCAGTCATTGGTTGAAGGTTTTGTTTCCCAGACTCTCTGGCAGTGGGACTGTACCCTAAGCCATGTCTAAAATTCATATATGAGAGAGCGCATACCATGTTTGTCTTTTTGTGACTGGGTTACCTCACTCAGGATTGTTTCTTCTAGTGCCGTCCATTTGCCTGCAAATTTCAAGATTCTATTGTTTTTTCTGCTAAGTAGTACTCCATTGTGTAAATGTACCACATTTTCTGTATCCACTCTTCAGTTGAGGGGCACCTAGGTTTTTTTCCAGGTTCTGGTTATTACAAATAATCCTGCTATGAACATGGTGGAACAGATGTCCTCGGGTATATACTTAAATGGAGTTGCTCGGTCTTCTGGTAGGCTGATTCTCATTTTCCTGAGGAATCTCCATACTGATTTCCAAAGAGGCTGTACGAGTTGGAACTCCCACCAGGAGTGGAGGAGTGTTCCCCTTTCTCCACATCCTCTCCAGCATAAACTGTCATTGGTGTTTTTTATTTTAGCCATTCTGACAGGAGTAAGATGGTATCTCAGTGTAGTTTGATTTGCATTTTCCTGATGGCTAGGGATAATGAGCACTTTCTTAAGTGTCTCTCAGTCATTTTAGACACCTCTGTTGAGAATTCTCTATTTAGTTCTATAGTCATTCTTACACACATTTTGACCATACACTAAGAGGATTCAAGGGAAACAGGCTACTTGTTCTTTCAACAACACTGTAGGAAAGCTGGCTGAGTTTGTGGAAAAAATGAACATTGGGCTTTACCTGATACAACACATGGATATTTATTTGAAATATTTCATAGACATCAGTATAAAAAGAAAAGAATGTGGTTTCTGAAAGAAAGAGCAACAGAAACTCTTTCCATTGAAGGAAGCACAGCTGATCTTGTTCAGGACAAACACACACAGATAGGGGGAATGGCAAATCAGATTTCAGCAATGTAAAAGTCTGTGAACCATGGAAATATGGCCTTAAGGAAATGGAAAAGCTAGTTATGCACATGTACGTGATTTGTCTGAAGTTTTGGAGATCTGTATTGGAGGCAAAGGACATGAGTCTAGAACAGTTGTCAACAAAGGGCCAATCCGAAATCAATTCACAGGTGGGTGGGAAGGAATGCCATGATAAAATACACTGTCTACAGAAGAATAGACAAAGAAAAAACCATCCCCATGCCTCTCCTCTCTCTCTCTCTCTCTCTCTCTCTCTCTCTCTCTCTCTCTCTCTCTCTCTCTCTCTTGT